GTTTTTTTTTTTTTTTTTTTTTTTTTTTTTTTGCCACAAGCGGAGTCAGGAAACCTCCCTTAAAGGAGGTGCAAATCTCTGCTTGTCTTCAGCAAAACAGAGTCCAACCAAGAAAAATGCTGGTACCAAGAAGCCTTGCTTGTCTTTGTTCTTTTGTTTATAAAACCCCCTTTTAAGCTTTTGTTAAGCTTTAAGTGAAAGTTCTCTGGTCCATGTTGCAGCGCCATTATGTTATGAGCAGATTTTCCCACCAGCCTGGTCCCATAGGTCAGGGCATCAGGAAGATTTGATTTGATAAAGGTGCACATTTTATGACCTAGAACTTTTGAAAGTTTTATTAAAAAGTATGTCAATGCATAAAATAGATGTACATAATTATTAAAATATGTACAAATCTAATATAAACTTAGACTAAGACTTTAGAGTACAGAGAAATGTAGAGTATTACCTTAAAAACTAGTAGGATCATGCTAATAAAGAATGCTGTACTATGGCAACCTTGCAGTCACTTCTGGTGGCTCTTATGATGAGCTTGCTTCCAGAAAACCCAGGTTGCTAGTGGGTAAAGACTGAGCATGTTAAAACTTACACTTTCAACTTGAGAGTTGTACTGTGGTGGTTGACTTAGTTAGGGTTACTATTGCTGTGATGAAACACCATGGCCAAAAGCAAGTCAGGGAGGAAGGGATTTAAGTTGATTGTGATCCCACATTGTACTCCATCATTGAAGGAAGTCAGAACAGGAACTCACAGAGAGGCAGAAACTGTTGCAGAGGCCAAGAAAGGGGACCGTTTACTAGCTTGTTCCCCATGGCCTGTGCATTCTGCATTCTTATAGAACCCAGGACCACCAGCACAAGGATGGAACCTTTGCTGGGTTCCTTGCTGGAAACGGGCTGGGCCCTTGCCCATCAAGCACTCATTAAGAAAATGCCCTACAGCTGGATCTTACAGTAGCATTTTCCCAATTTGAGGTTCCCTTTCAAATGACTCTAGCTTATGTCAACTATGCGGCACATTGCTATTCTAGGGTCAACTATTATTTTCCAAATTTCTTTGCTTACCCTTTGCCATAGCTTCCAGTCAGCCTCTTAAAATAGCCTTTTTCTTTTTATTTTCAGTTCTTGGAAGTCAGTTGTTTTCCTTTAAGATAAGAATGGATGTCTGCAGAGCTTATCCATTCACTTACTGAGCTTTCAAGTTGTGGTGATTGTGGAAACAGCTGCTACAAGCATTTATACACAATTTCTTTGTAATGAGTGTTTTCAACTAACTTGGATAAAACCCAAGGCCTGTGATTGTGGGGTCATATGGTAGAGATGTTTGATTCTCTTAGAAACTGCCAAACTGCATTCCCAGGAGGTTACTGTATTTCCACCAGCAGTAACAGTTCCTGTTTTTGTTTCCTCCTCTTGGTTTAGGGTTATATGTGTCTTAACCTTGTACTCAGAGAGATCCACTTCTGTCTGCTTCGCCAATGCTGAGATTGGGATTATTGGGTTCCACATCCCGGCTGGCTCCCTTTTGATCATTTCACTGTGTCTGACGATTCCTGCAGCTCTGACATCAAATGTCTTTTCATAGGCTTATGTTCTATGTGAGCTCTGGTGACTTATTCAGATGTTTGCCATTGTTTACAGTTGAGATCATTTTTGATCTTTGAGTTAAAATCTGAGTTCCATGTATATTTCAGATGAAACTTTTCTTTATATTTTATTAAAAGCATTTTTTAACATTAAGTATATTTTGATCATATTGTTTACCTTCCAAAACCTTCCAGAACCTCTCCTCCACACCCACCAAGTTTTCTTCCTTCCTTCCTTCCTTTTTTTTTCTTTCTTTCATCCTTCCTTCCTTTCTTTCCTTTTGGTTTTTTTGAGAAAGGGTTTCTCTGTATTGCTTTGGAGCCTGTCCTGGAACTCAGTAGACCAGGCTGGTTTTGAACTCACAGAGATCCATCTGCCTGCCTCTGCCTCTGCCTCCCAAGTGCTGGGATTAAAGGTGTGCACCACCAATGCCCAGCGACCTAAATTCTTTCTAAAACAATCAAAACACCAGTATAACATATCCCCCAAACCAAGATAACAGAATAACCCCCCTCCAACAAAACAAACAATAAAAACCACCAAACTGCAACAAACAGCACACAAAAAAAGTGAAGTCCATTATATGTTGGTCAACTACTGAGTATAAGGCCTGTCCTGTAGTGGTGGATATACACAACGTCACTCATTGCGGAAAACTGACTTTCTCTGTCCCAGCAGGTGTGACAATTCAGTTGTTAACCTTTACCCTAGTGGCTAAGTGTCCAGTGATTCATTAATTCATTTTTTAAAAAATACAACAAAATATAAGATAAAAACCATCACACCAAAATTGAACAAGACAATCAGAAAAAGCACAGGAGAAGGCACAAGGATCAGAGACCTACTCATTGGCAGTCATGGGAATCACACCAAAATGTTACACTGGAAGTTTATATATGCAGAGGACTGCTGCAGACCTGTGTAGACCCTGTGCTTGCTGCTTCAGTCTCTTGAGATAAGAACTTTACTCATACTGATTTAGAAGGCCTTTTCTTTAAATCCTCTGTCCCCTGTAGCTCTGTGGTACCTTCTCTTCTGTAGGGCTCCCTGATCTCTGGGAGAGAGAGGGAGAGGATTTGATGGAGACCTCCTATTTAAGGCTGAGAGTCCCAAGGTCTCTAACTCTATGTAATGTCGGACTGTGTCTCTCTTTGTTCCCATTTGCTGCAGGAGGAAGCTTCTCTGGTGATGGCTGAACAAGGCACTGATCTGATTGTAGAAGAGTATCATTAGAAGGTATTTCTTTTATCAGTGATATACTTGCAAGCTTCATCACTGAAGACTTCTTAAGGAAAGATTTTCAGTTTACCAAGTTTTCTTACTTTTGATGTCTTTATCACTAAAATTGCTTTATCACTAAAGTTGCTTCTATGACATCTGAAGAAGTTAAAAGTTTTGAATTTTACATTCAGGTATAAAAGTCAAATGCAAATGTCCACTTGAAAGCATATGCTGAAGATTTTTCAGAGTGTTCTATGTAGAGTACATTGTCATTAAGTCTGTGCTTTTATGGATCCTCCTCTAATGAAATAATACAAATATACTTGGGTATAGTTTATGCTATAATGTTGATTTATATTTTTCTAACTCTTGTGTTTTGAGGCCATATCATTGGGAGAAAATACACTTAAATTATTGTATTCTCTTGACTAAATTCAGCCTTCATTGAAATGCAGGCATTATCTTTAGGCAGTCATTTTATCATAAAGATCATATATGTGAATGCTGTGATACTCTGGCCAAAAGTCATTATTCATGTAGGTACTCAGAGGGCTTATCAGTTGACTTCCTTCATGAAGAATGTGCTCAGATGGAAAGATTCCCTGTAGCCAAGATCATTCTCCCTTCCTAGACTGGTCAGATCACCTTCTCCATCCCCTCTGGTAATGCTCCCTTCCTCTGTCCCCTCTCTAGGACTCCACTTCAATCTTTAGAATCACCATGGCTATTGCTTCCACGATTCCTTGTAGTCTCTTTCAGCCTCTCTTCCAATTCCCTGGAATCTCCTTTAACTGTGTGATCTGATGGTTAACTATATAATTTCTAGTTGTTTTTCTTTCTGTTAAATTTCTGTAGTTGTTAGATCTCTTCCATTATAAAGTGTGACATTACCTCTACAAATAGCATTTATGAATACTGATGGAACCTGATTACTTTAGCATCCAGAGTATCTGGGCTGGTTATTTGTGTCACAATGCCATGTCTCTGAGTCTTTGCTGAACTTATGACCACTTGCTCAAAGAAATGAGTGAGATTAGGTGGTGGTTGTTTGCACCAGTGAGGTTTTTGTTTCCCACTGCTAAGATGAAAATGTATTAGAGTCAAGGGAGCTCGGAGTTTCTCAGGCTCATATACCTACTCCGGAATAAGCCCCCCTGAGGGACTCTATGCACAAAAGTTATTATGGCACATACTATATTTTGACCTGCATTCTTAAACTACAAATCAAAGTGGCTCAGCTTCTCTGCAGCTTCCCAATGCCCCAGAGAAATGGAGCGGGGGATATTGTATTCTGCTACTTACTAGAAATGGGATAACCATCTCTTCATCTAATGAAAGCTTGAGTAGAAATGTAACGAAGATGCTTCAGAGTGCTGAATTGTAGTATAGACAGATCTCATGGGTATTTACTATTGCATTTAGCTGCAAGGAAGCTGGAAATATCTAGCATTTTCAGGTTTTACGGTGGGTGATGGAAGCAGAATTCGAAGGTTGTTCTGCTAACTTCTGCCTCCCTGTTGTTGATATCATATATTATATTATGTTGCACATTCAAGGAAATGTACATATCTCACCAAGGGCTAAAATCAGTTAATACTGAAACATTTATTTACCTACTTAAAAAAATAAATTAATCTCAAGTTAATCATTGAGGAAATTATTCCATGAGCCTAATCTAATACTGAGTCCTTTAAAGAAGAGATTTCTCCTCAGATGGCAGAATAGGGAGGTAAATTCCAAGTATCAGAAATAAGCACTATATTGCTGCCTAGAAGCTGAAGAATCATGTGGTGGTTGCAGCCTCTGAGACAGGAGAACCCTAGTATCGAAGTACCCAGGATATCTGAGTTTGCAAGTGGGAGATTATACACAAAACTGAGTGAGTAATGCTTAAGTCACTCATTTTGTGACAGCCTTATGCAGCAATGGGAAACTAATATAGAAAGGTTTGGATTCTTCCACCATGATTTACTAGATGATAAAATTTCCTAAGCACAAAAATGGTAGGACCCAATTTGCAGAAGCACCTGTTTTCTAAGGTATCTGATACTACTAGCACATACCCAAGAGACCAGAGGAATCTTCTATAATTCTAGCTGTCGATAGCCTACTCAGTACAGCTTTGATTTAACCACAAACTCCCCAAACCATAACTTCACACATGAATAAATCAAATCACGCCAGCACAGAAAGACAGATGTATATAAAATCTTTATAAATTCACAAGCTTTGTTGAAAGTGTACAAGAGTTTCAATTTATTGAAACAAAAGTAACATTTCAGTTTTGCATGCATGAAGTCACCTTACATTTCAAAGAACACATTTTAAAAAGTATGTTTGAAAAAAAAAAAGTGTCCTGTTAAAAACAATCACAATTGAAATGAAACACTATGACTGTTAAATACCTGCTATACAGGGACATTTTAATAACAGTGTTTGGCTGCTTGACTTAAAGGATACATTTATTTTCACACGCTTACTACTTATAAATTAATTCACAGGATCCATAATGTTACTTTATAGCTCCAAATCAGTATTAGCAAAAATAATACAAAATTACTCCTCTTGCAAGCAACACCTTCATCCTAAGTAAAACATGGCATTAGATTAAACTATAATTTGTTAGCATTTCTTCTAAAAAGTCTGTGACATTATTGAAGAGGAGCGACATTTACGGTTTTATACTCTGAGGGCATTTCTTGCTGTGGGCCACTGCTATTGCTTCACTCACATACTCACTCATACCTCTAAGAATTTGGGCCTGGAATATCTTTTGCAAGGATTACATATAGAGGCAAAAGGAAAGCAACCTAAAGGTGAGAAAGCCCCTGGGATGTCTACTCTGGCTTACTGCCAAGGTGGATGGGTTGAAGGGTATGAGGCACACCTACACATTGATTGGGTTCTGGACCCTTAAGGTGTAGGTGCTGTTTAGACAGGGGCATGGACACATGACAAAGATCTGAGCACCCCCCCCCCCATAATGTATATGTAGTTGTTACTTAGTGAACAGAATAGCTACCAATGAAAATACTTATCCAGTCAATCTTTCAAAACTTCATAACTCTAGTATACTACCGTGTCTCTTTCTACTAGTGGAAAAATAATGTCCTATAGGAACTCACAGCTAAGAGAGATTCCAAACCCAGCCATCAGGTATTGAGTGTGATTAATTCCCATTAAGGTCAAAATATTGATACCATGCTCACATCTTGATATTCTCTAAGCTTAATTTTCTTCCTTAATTTGTAAATGTGTGTTGCAGCCACTTTCTACTTGAGAACAAGCAGAACAGTCAGGAACCATGCAAGTCAGGAACCATGCATTACTGAAGGCAAAGCAGCAGACTTGGGTCAGCTCTTGGGCAGTTGACTCATAATATCCTGTCTTCCCAATGTCCTCACATATGTGAACTGTAAAAACCTATGTGATTTTAGTAGCTTGGGTTTATTAAGCTAAAGTTACCTAAGACCAATATTGAATGAGATGGATTTTGAAAATCCTCACTGGGTGGCCCCTCACTTTCCTTCTAATGAGGAAAATGGCAGCAAAGTTCAAGTGTCAATTTCCCTTTCGTAGAAAGGGGTTTACAAACCATGACAGCTTACCTACTGAACTCTTATTAGTTCCTTTTGGAATTAACAGCATTAGGCTAAGACACAAAAAGTATTTACAAAATGGACACTCCTTATAGACAAACTTGCTGATGCTGCAGGTCTGCACAAAGGAGAAACTTAAGCGGGAAGAGCAATGTTCTAGATAAAATGAAGACAGAGAAGCCAAAATACAGCATCTTACATGACACACTGGATGGAAGTGGAGGGAACCAGGGCTGTTCAATGGAGTCAGAGAGGTTTAGGAGCATCATTATGCAAAAACTGAGCTTTGTGGACTAACTTCATCTATAGCTGTTCTGCCGAGAGTACAGAACAACTTGGCAAGCTTATAGGCATGTGTTTCCATTCTTTTTAATTAAGCAGACTGTGATAACAGGAAAACCAGCCCCCATTCTGTTGGCCATCTGAGAGATTACACGTTGGTTTCCAGTCCTAACAAACGTCCCATCCTCTCCACATTCTTATCAATAGTAGCTTGGCATGTTATCTCCTTTGCACATTCCATTGGAAACCAGCCCCTTTCTCCATCTCGAAGTCGTTCCCCTTCATACCAGCCTGCAAGGAAAACCAGGTTGCATCAGGCAAGATATGTCTGGGGGAATCTTTTTGGGCCAGCTCACTCTGACGAAGAGATGCCCAATCTGAAGGTGGTATTTCTTCTGTGGGTTGAGTTACCATAGATAATAGGCAAGGAGAAACTTTAGTGCAATAGATTCCTGCTAAGGTCAAAATACTTCAGGTGTAACAAGGCAAGGTTTCAAAAGAGGATGAGTGAGGCACCAGAGATTGGACATGAGCAAAAAGCTCAGAAGAGAGGAGACTGTGAGTGTGAACTGGCTGAGCTCTGACAGGCAATCCTCTGGACACAAGCAGCAGGGAACCCTTTCCTTTTTAAGTAAGGGAACAGGGAAGAAAAGTTGAGAACTAGGTGACTGCAGGCCTGGGAAGAAAAGGAAACTCCATGGTGAGTGCATCATACTTCAAAAAAAAAAAAAAAAAAAAAAAATCATGGAGAGAAAACAGAAGATGGGGCAAAATTAGGGGTTTCAAATGGATTACTTTCAGCAACCATTAGGGCTCCAAGGACCTTCTGGTTTGGGGCATAAACTGTCAGGGACAGAGATTAAGGACTGGATAGAGGAGCTGAAGTATCGCTGTGTCAGGTTATGAAATACAGGTGTTGGTGACAAAATTAAAGTCCGTGGACAGAGGCTCTGTGAGTGCCATTCCACTACCGCCTATGAGACTAATCCTACTCACCGTCGCCAACACGCTGATAAATGAGGACTACATCTGCCACCTGTAGGGAGAGTTCATCTGGCTGCTTGGCAGTAAAAGATCTAATGATTTCCACCTGGGTCAGTGCTGTGGAGGAAAAAGGACACAATGAGCTTCCATAGGCTGGGGAACAAAACTCTACAAAGAAGCAGTAGGCGTTCATTCCCTCAGGCCTGTGCCTCCAGGGCCTGCAATGCAGACTGAGCCAGGCTCATGCTTGCTTATGAAGTTTAGAGTTTTAAAACTTGGGTTCAAGAGGGATCTTATGATGCATGAATATGCTCAGCAGTAGCCTTGACTAGGAGTCATTCATAGTATTACCCTTTGGAACTGCCAATAGCCACTGCATGCTGGGGACAAGGAGGCAAGAGAGGAGGTGATAGGTCAAGATCATACAACTTCAGTACCAAGATCTCAGTCCACAGCTCTCTGGTCCTACCAGCAACTAAGCATAAAGGCTGTGAACAAGCTTAGGAAAAGTGAAGGCTCCAACCAGAATCTTACCAGGCTAGTTCTGAGTACCCCAAAATGCTGATTTTCAACAATACAACTGCAGTAGAGCTCACTGGCATGGCTTCACTATTTGTTTTTAATATAAAATCGAATGTCACACCAACCACTTTTGCTTTGACTCTAAAAGTTGTGGTCATAAGCTCCATAAAACCATCTTTGCAACCCTCATTCTTCAGTCCCCCAACTGATCATTCAGAAACAGCATTCCCATAAGCCTAATAGGACACCAGAAGAATAAAGCACATTTTCTTGACATTGTCACTTACACCCTTTTTTAGGGTCAGGAAAAACATAATTTTCTTTAGACCAAAAATTTGTAACCGGACATGGTGCTCACAGGCTGTACTCCCAGCATTCTGGAAGCTGAGGCAAAAGACTGAGTTCAAAGCCAATCTGGACTAGTGTGAAACCGGGCCACGCAGAGCTAAGTAGCAAGGCTTTTTCTCAAAACAATAAAAATCAAACACCCTCACACTTTTCTACATATATTTAAACCCATTAATAACAGCTAAGTTTAAGCCCTGTATGATTCAAGCAGGGCTTCACCCTCTATAACTTAGTCTTTACAATAACCCACAGTGAGACCGATTACTCTGACTCATGGATGGAGAGAAAACTCAAGAAGGCTAAGCAGCAATTTTTCATGCTATCTAAAAACTGCACCTGGGAGGAACTTTGTAAAGCAGGTAGAGATAAAGGTAGTGTAACCGGTCAGTAACCATGCTGTCCAGCAGGGGGCAGAGTCCCTCCGTGTTCCAGAGCCCTACCACTCTGGGAAACTTACTGGTTCGATCTGGTGGCTGCTTCCCGCTGCTGTGTCCTAGAGCTGTGATCCAGCGGGCTCGCTCACTCCTAAACACAGAGAGCAGGTGCAACTCAGATTTGTGCCTTAGACACCAAAAGCAGTTTGTCCCAGATAACCAGAAAGACATTCCCAAAACGTAAGGGGTCTCCCGGGAGGGTAGGGGGCTGGCCTACGGGAAAGGAGGGGTTTTTAAAAAGGCAGAAGAGCAGTCGTCATTGTCAAGCAAGTGTAAATCTGGCTCATTATTGGTTAAATGGGACTTCTCATATGACAGTTGGACATGTAATGAAGAACTGATTATGTCAGCACATTAAACCACAGGTATTTAGCACATGCCTGGCCTGAAATTTAACTGTTCAAAGGATCAATTTCACCTGTAAGGCAAGTCTGTAAAGCAGGATCCTTTTCCTCCCACACACTCAGCCATTTTGGTAAAAGTATTCTCTTATACGGCACCTTTGGCAAGTGTGAGATTTACAGAAATAAAAATTCTGACATATTTAGACTATTCTCAAATGCTTTAAAATGTTTTCCTAAGTATAAGTAGAATGAAAAATAGCCAAAATATTTTAATATCATGCTAAGGTATACCTGCATGAAACAAAAAAAATTAACAATGACTACCACATCACAAGTCTCAGGTAACTAAGCACTATTCCATTGCAGAATCAACCTTGTATATTTAGAAAGCCAAGCATTAGAATCAAACTATACACATACACTATTGTAACTCTCTTAAACACTCCATAAATGCATGTATGTCAGATGCATGGACTCAGCATCCATTATTTCATATAATCCTCCCAAAATACATGTGGGATCAGGCTTGGATTGGAGGTAAGGAATTTAAGCCAATTAATTTCCTATGTCAATGTGCATTCTGGACAGACATCTTTATCTCCAAATACATTTCTTTTCTCCCAATATCTTGCATCTAAATGTGTCTATACAACCCATCTTCACTCTCCCAAATGTACTCCCCTGCCATACCAGGCAGGACTGCCAGTATAAGCAGCCCATGGAGGGCAGGGCAGCGGGTGCTTTTCCACTGTGCTCAGAAGGCTTTGCCTAGTCACTACTCCCTTCTAAACACACCATCGCCTTTCAAGGCTGCTGCGATGGCACAGAGATGTGTTTTCTCTTGTGGAGGACTCGAGTGCAGTTCCTAGCATGCACAACTGCCTGCCAGTCCAGCTCCAGGGGGTCTGACAGTCCCTGGCCTCTTAGAATACCCACACTCACATACACATCCCCACACAGCCACATATATATAATTAAAAATAAATCTTAAAAAAAAAAACAGTGTTGCAACATTTAAAAAAACACACACACCAAAAATAAATAAATAAATAAAAGTACTGTATATATACTCAACTCTGCAAGTGTTTGCTTATGAAAATCCATGTCTATATTCTACCAGACCAGGAACCAATCACTGCCATTCAGATTTTCATCCCATATATTAATCTCACCTGTTTTATATATTTGAAAATGAGATTCTACCATACATTTCTGTTTGGGCTTCTGTTGTTCGTGTACTCAGAATATTGAAAATACAACCTCACCTCTTCCAAGCAACTTCCCTATTACAGACACCGGGTTCGTTCCCTTCCTTATCCCTATCTGACAGTGGTCCCCAGGGGGCCCTCCACCCAGCCTCACCTGTTGGTGGTCCATTATAGCCTAAAAGCAGGCAGTGGGACAGCCTGGTTAACTGGCTTAACTCCAGAGCTTAGTGCATAACCCGGGCTCAGTAAACATCTGCTTACAAGAGAATCCAATTACTGAGCACACAGGGAACCTTGATCATTTATCAAGTGGTCTGCTTCTATAACCAGATTCTAAACTCTGGCAGGGCAGGATTCAGGTCTCTGTCTTACATATACGGAAAATTGCCACAAGTTAAAGGCCACTCTTAACAATATAATCGGACTGACTCAAAAAGTCAAGAATAAACAAACTAATGCTTATTTAACAGTAAAATAAATAGGTCAGGTAGTTAGGATGAAATGGCTATGCTCAAACAGTTTTTTAAAAGAGTAGAAGTGACTGCTCAGAAGATATAGCTGTCAGCAAATATGACTTTGGATCCCCAGAACCATGTAAAAGCTGGATGCTGTCCTGGGAGGACCTGCAATCAGTCCTAGCTCCCCTACAGGGACATGGGCGGCATAGAGAGCAGAATCACAGGAACCTTTGGGGCTGCCTATCCTTGTGTATACAGAGGCAATGAAGCCCTAGCTCAGACAAGAAGGACTACCCACCAGGATACCACACACCGGGACACCACCCACTGGGCCTTTCTTCTGACCCACAAATAGGCATGCACCTATCTACATTCCACAGAGAATACAGGAAATGGGGCTTCAGGCAGTAATATGGCTATTAGAAGCTGATGATACCATCTTGCTTTTAAAAACTTTGTCTCCCTAATACAAAATAAAATGCTTTTCTTGGTTTTGTAAGGAATAAGAAATACACAGCTATCTCTAAACTAGTTAGTTCCCAAGTAAACACTTTGGATTCTGCTGTTTGATGGAGAAAGATCCTTATTATGTCGTAGGTTCAATTGGAGTTCCAAAGTCCAGTGCCAACTGAAAACGAATGTCTAGCAGAAGATGACGGTTCACCAAGAGCAAACTCTGCAGCTCAGGATCTGTGACTCCTTACTGTATTAAAGGCATGGCAGGCCTTTACCTGCCCAAACTATCTTGCCCAAACTGCTATCTTTCTGGAGCACTGTGGAGCTGAATATTTTACACAGGACTTTGTAGGCAAGGCGGATCTCAAGATCCAGCAGCTGTCCCCTGCCACTGAGCTGAGCAGTCCAGATGAAATCATTCCCTCCCGGGCCATGCTGTCTGGATACTAATGGCATCCTGTAGCCAGTGTGGCCCCTTGCTGAGACTCTAGAGGACAGAACAAGACACTTGTTGTTGCCCTCAGTGAATGGAGCTGTTTCTTGAAAATGTTTCAATTGAGCCAGCCCCACCCCCTCTTAGAAGCTGTCAAACCACACCACATCCCCTGGGGCTTCTAAGCTCCTTGCCAAGGAGCTGGCCCCACCAGGAAAATGGAAGGACCCTATTTCTAAAGCAGGAGCAGAGCCCTCACTGTAAGACAGAATCCTAAAGACAGGAAAAGTATTATTAAAGTCCATGGCTCATCCTCATCTAGTCTCTCCAGTGACAATACAAAACAAGAGGAATTTGCAACCTACCACACATGCAGTTCAGACTTTTCCCATTGCTCAAAGTAATCGAGTTGGAAATGCTGAGCTAATGCAGACTCATACTGTGGGGTATCCATTTCCAGGGCACAACTAACCCTTCCTCCAACCAACCTTCACTGAGTGCACAGGCTCTGCACTAGGCTGGGAGTGCAGAGTGGATAAAATGGGGTTCTTTGCTGTTCATAGCCCTTAATACAACAGAGCAGACAGAACAGAATGAATAATATTCAAGCCTCAAACAGTGTGTAACGTGCTGGGGAAAGACTCTCCTTAAACCACATTGGACTCCAGAGAAGAAAGAAGACTAAGTGGAGGAGAGACTCAACAGTCCTTCCATTACCACCCGGTTTTGTACACACAGCACTCACTGTAAGATGCCCTAGCAGTTTTCCACACGGAAAGTAGCAGCTGAGTACCTTGTCCTGTTCCTTAACTGGGCAACAGGCACAGCAGGTTTAAACTTGATTGCAAAATGGTCACAGACACAGAAATCCAATTCCTCACGGTATCCACTAAAGGCTACATAATAGAAGCGATTATTCAGAAAATATGAGATATGAATTCAGACTTAAAATTTTCTCTCCCTCCCTCCCTCCCTCCCTCCCTCGCTCCCTCCCTCTCTCTCTTTCTCTCTCTCTCTCTCTCTCTCACACACACACACACACACACACACACACACACACACACACACACACCCTACACACACCCCAAGGATGAGGACTGGCTGTAAAGTTCTTAATATACTTCATGTGAAATGTCAGTGCTCAGTGTAAGTACCACCTGAATGCTCCCATTAACATTGGCATGTAACATTGTTATGTGTTATTAAAAATGTCCTGCCCATGAGGCTGCAGAGATGGCTCAGTGATTAAGAGCACTGGCTGTTCTTCCAGAAGACCTGGATTCAATTCCCAGTACCCACATACAGCTCACATCTGTCTATAACTCCAGTTCCAGGGGATCAGACACCCTTGCACAGCATGCAAACAAAACACCAGTGCACATAAAAATAAATAAAAATTTAAAAAAATATTCTGTCCATTTCTACTTGAAGTATCTTGTTTGTTTATGAAAGGTGTCTTAAATAAACATGGCTATCACTTGGCTTTAAAAAAAGCAATAGGTGTTTGGGAAACATTAATCAAATGTAAAAGATCATGTTTGGATCCAGAGTGTACACATTCAAGAAGGGACAAAAGTATGGTAGCCTGAAATATATTGTGATTTTCCTAAAGGAAGGAAGATTGACTCTGAGATACCGCTGACGACTTTATTCCATCCTTTTACTTCCTGTTGTAATTAGATCATTAACTGGAGCAGGAAGAGTGCAAAGCTCCCTGCAAACAATGTCTCTTTGTCAGTGGCCCAACACCGGGTGGTCTGGATGGCTGACAACACCGGCCACATTCATTACACTCCCGGCTTTCTTTCCCTGTGACAGAAATGCAAAGAAGGACCTCTGGTTATGGTTTATGATGATTCTGTTCTACAGCTACATGGAAGAGGTGAAGAAAGCTTGTCCTCCTCACTGAACACATACTAGATGTCTCATCCCTAATACCCTGGCTGGACCTAAAGACATCCAAATGCTACTTCACATGCAGGAAGCCAAGGACATCACTCGCTACATACTGCCCCTTGCCTTTGGGAACTGCAGCTGTCTGGACTTCATTTTAATGAGGGCAGACAAAGGGGACTCTCCCTCTCCCACATTCTTCTTGAAAAGTTTAGAGGGACAAGATATGATAGTAATTCATTCTTCCCTTGTCTTTTCATGAACAGTAACTCTTCATATTTTTTAGACTCTTGTCTGATTAGCAGCACAGTCACTTAAGATTTGTACCAGGCAAACAGATATAACACTGTATATAACACTACATTTACATCCTACAAAATGGTCAGCAGTGTTCTTAAGAACAAAGGTAGAAAACTAGGAGAAATTGGGAGGGGGGGAGGAGGGAAAAGTTGCTCTATCAGCAATGACTACAGGTGCCAGTAAACTAGGAAAGGGGCCAATAAAGCGTAGGACATGTTCAGGGGCGGGACATCAGTTAGTAGGACATAGGCGCTATGAAAGTGGTGGTGGAGAAACAGGTTTAAGCGCTGGTGGGGTGGGGATCAGGAAAATGAAATCATGAGTAAAGGAAGCCAAAGTGAAGAGAGTATGAAACAGCAATATGGAAATTTGTTTTTATAAGCAAATTAAAGGTATAAATTAAAATAAATAAGAGTTAGAAGGCAGATGTTCTTCTTAGCTAAGTAATTCTGTTTCTAGAAGCCATGGTTATTAAATAGGTATCCCAGTATCGAGGGGAAATCCTTTCTGTGAGTTGTTGATCCCCAAATAATGCAGGTCCTTGCCATTCTTCCTGGTAGATGATAAGACGCTATTGCTGAAGACACTGTGTTGTTTCTGGAGTTCCTTTCCAGCCTGGTCCTGCAGCCAATTAGTCCCAAATATGCACACAAAGACATATATTAATTATTAAACTGTTGGTCAATGGCTTGGCCTTCCTACTGGCTAGTTCTCTCCTAATTATTAACCCATTTCTATCAATCTGAGTATTTTCACATCTTATCTTACCGGAGAAGGCCTGGTGTGTCCTATCTTCCCCGTCTCTGCATGGTGTCTCTCCTGGCCTCCCTCTCCCCAACATTTTCCTCATCTCCTAATCCCACCTATCTTCCTGCCTCTACTGGACAATCAGCGTTTCATTCAACAACCAATAAGAGAAACATATATACAGAAGAACATCCCCCATCACCATGGATGCATCTTGATTGCAAAATATAGAGAAATAAAGGCAGAACTAACTGAGCAGAAAGCTTCTTCCCTGATGGCTAGCTTTCATAACACTAGAGTGCTCTATAGGCAGCTGGGAGAGAAAGGACATCAACTTTGAACCCTATGAATTATAATACCAACTACTAAGAAAGAAGTGCATACTGCTACGATAATGGCACATCCATTATAGGGGCATCCAATGTTCTATTCAGGCCTGCTCCTCAAGAGGAAATTCATAGTTCACACAATGTGCCCAATCAAAAACCCACAACTGGGGAAAATACAGGTCATAGGAGGCAACTTACTACTGTCATTTAACAAAATTGCCATGAATCACACACACTGCTTTCTAAACACACATAGTTTATACCCATTGACAAGTGCAACTCTCAGTCTTACTCAGAGAAGCTTCTCTTTACAGCAAACATTCATGAATGAAGAGATGCTTGGTTGCTTGGGTAAGGGAAAATTGAGTACACAGCCCTGAATGGGACATTTATACCGCTCCCTTTAAGGCTTAGAAAACACTGGTAGAAGTGATAGAAAGATGATAGGGATAGAGAAGAACCACAAAATGGCATCTTCTAAACATGACACAGCCATTGTAACCATGTACTCCTAACAGCTACGGCTGTTTTCACAGGGCTTGCACAAAGCTCAGCCTGTCAACAACTGTAGATGGAAAAGGGGCTAATGGAGCACTGGCCACCCCTGACCAGCAATTGGCCACTGATGGGTTCTGGGTGAGACCCGTTTGTCACTCCATAAATCCAACCAATATTTCACAAGTCTAAGGTGCAGAGAATACTTCTTACACTGACTAAAACCGATTACACAAAACCAGATAGCCCACACTAAAGAACTGGTGTTTACGAGATAAGTGTATTTATGTTGATTTAAACAGATCACAATGTGTACATTTTATAGTATTCAAGCAGCATGTTCATCTTTTATGTTTCCAGATGTAAGCTTAAAACAAAACAAAACAGAAAAGCCAGTACCTCAAAACTAATCTACAGATGTCCACTCCTAGCATGCAACAATTTGCTCGACATTTTAAAAACTCAGTGTGTGAGAGTGCATGTGTGTTTTAAGGAAAGCACATTTAAGACTCATTTATTTTCTTCTTTGCCAGGGCTATTTAGTATATTGCCAGTAGCTGCCCATTTATTTATATTGAGAATTATTATTGTTACATTATGTGTTTAAATATTTTGCCTGTGCATATGTATGCACACTGCAAACATGTCTGGTACCCACAGACCAGAAGAGGGAACTCTAGAGCCCTTGGAACTGGAGTTACAGAGGGTTGTAAGCCTCCATGGGTGCTGGAATATGAATCCAGGGCCTCTACATGAATAGCAAGTGCTGTATCCGCTGAACAATCTCTCCAACCCAGTCTATAAAATTATTTTTCAACTGCAATTGAGGGCAGAGAAGGGAAGAGAATGAAAGTCACTCCTTCTGTTCCCAAAGAGAGACTTCTGCCTCCCCTGTCCCTTCTGGAATGTTTTCTTGCTATTAATGAGAGAACAACAAATATGAGTCATACTCATGGGTTTATGGGTGACATAACTAAATATTCTGAGAACATGTCTGATTAAGAAAACAGACAACTGTTCAGTCCAAGGCAAATCAAAGACATGAGGATAGAACAGATTCTACAGTCTTGGAAAGATCTAGCCATGGTTTGAAAAGAACAGGACATTGCCTTGGAATATTTGAGAAACAAGTGATGGAGATTTCATAAATTATGGATGACCCAGTCAGGAAAAGCTCTGCATTGCACTGGCGAAGCCTGAATGAAGAACAAACTGTGAATAGAAGAGGAAAACACAAGCAGAAGCAGCACTTTCTGCATTACTAATTACAAAGGGGGCATTTCCATGAATTTTCCAAAATGTCTGGACAAGTATTAACCCCTAAGAGTTTAAGCTTTTCTATAAGTTACACAAAATCCATCATATTAATTCCATTTTTGAAAGAGGTTCCCTCACACAAAGGAAGCCTAGTTCTGACTCTGTTAACCAAGAATGCCTAGGGTTGAAGAGATGTCTTTCCTTTCTTCTGGCCCTGGATGTGTCCCATGCTAGATTCCAGAAGCACACACCCAAGGATGCCCTCCCCTCAAAAACAGACATGGAAGGCAATGCTGGGAACTCTTGTGGGCTTTTCTACAGCTCCTGGGGAACAATTGTGGGCCCATAGAAAAAGATTTCTTCTGTAAGAAAATATTTTTACATAAAGACTTAACTCCAGGTGGGGCTGTTATTCACTACTATCTGCTAATCCATTTTACTCACTCTACATGGGAATGCTGACAGATGATGGCAGGAAACATGCAAAGACCTGAGAGGATACAGATTTAGTGTAATTCCTTTTCCTCCATTGCTCTGTTCCCTGCCCCAATGTAGAAACTGGTCCATGATGATGTCCAAGAGATTTCTTGTTTGTGAACAAATTGGTCAGCAATGTCAAAATGAACCAAATCCCCAAGGTGGGCTTGCAAATCAAGCCTTAATTCCCTCATTCAGTGTGAGAGTGGCCTGCACACTAAGTGTGGGTAAAGCCACAGGCCCTAGAAGAATTTCGTGATCTACGACTGGCTGGAAAGAGGAGTCAGGAAATGCCTTCCCTAAGTTGAGTATGTCTCTGAGCGTCCCCTTGCTCTGTCTGACTGAAGGCAGATGATTCAGAAATTACTTCAAATAGCCTAAAGTAGATGAGCCATTTTTCATGGCTACAAAGTGTAGCAGCTACAAGGAGTCCATGTGAAATGTTGAGTGGCCGTGTCATAGCTTCTCAAGGGCTGCAGAAAGTCAAGGGCAGGTAGATGTAAAGCTCCATAATATTCCAAATGAACTTGCAGGAATGAATAAGGAAAAAGATTTATCCTAACATTTGTGTTTATGAAAATATCAGTATTGCAATAAAATGTGTTTTGTTTTTTGCTTTTTTTTTTTTTTTTTTTTTTATGAAAAGGTTCAACTAAAATGCATCCATCAGGACTTACAGGGCCCAAAAAGCAATATCCCTCCCTAGAGTTGCTAAGGAGGTCATATCTGGGTGCTGTGCTCAGCACACAGTAGGTACATAACAACAAAAATAAATAGCAGCACTGTTTGTAGAGAGGAGGAGCAGATGGGTGAACAGAGGAAGGCTAGGTGACTGCCCCTCCTCTCTGTGTACACTTACTGGGTCTCAGCGCCGAGCAGCATGTCCACCTTCTCACTGGCATGGTTGCTGAGGACAGTCAGAGTGAAGAGGTGAGAGGCAGAGCTCTGTCTTGAGTAAAGCATTGTGGAAGAGTTCTTCCCTGGAGAAGAATTAAGCTCTTCACTGTCACAAGATTCCACCAACAGCTGATCCCTTAAAGAATAATCATTGACGTTGTAACTTTCCTCACTAAAAGAAAGGGAGAAAGAATATGTTAATTAATCAGTAGCTATTACTGTCACCCTGTTGGATTTCAAGTCATTTTTATTTATTTATTCATTTATTTGGAGAAATGGGCAAGACATCTAGAGGAAGGAGAGAATGGCCTGTTTTATGGCATAAACTGGAATCTGAATTTTATCTACTGATTAGCAATCAAGGGAAGCACCCTATGTATGAAGCACACTAAAGTACATGCCAGATAAAAGAACAATATATTTTTTGAAAACACAGAACATTTCTTACATGGACTTAAAAATAAACACAAATCAAAGTTGGGGACTTCTTGCATGCAAACTATGAGAAATTTCTGCCAAAAATTCAAGTATCTAGCAGGCAACACTATGAGACTTACATTGCCACTGCAGGAACAATACACAAATGTTAGATCATTGCAAAGATGAAATACTGAATAATTAACCCAATACAGAGCCTCCTAGGCTACATTTGCCACCATTCTGTAAAGTTTATAATCAGCAAGACTTGTATGCATTGTGACTCATGAATGGTGCATCTCCCCACCTTTTACACCGACCTCCAACACAGAATGAAGAGGAGGCTGTAAAAACCTACACATGCTCAGGTAGCCCAGGTTTCACCCCATATCCGCAAATGACCGCAGTGGAGGATGGAAGTAGAACGCCAGAGTTCTGCTTGTGGAAATTGAACCTCAGGGATTTGCTGATAGAAGCAGAACCCCCAGGAGGACTGCTTGCTCTGGTAAAATGCCATCCCATCCCACATTATGGCCTCTTGTCATAGAAGCCACCAGCCTTAATCTTGGTGTGTCCCCACTCTTGCTTATCCACCCTCATACTGTGAGCAAGGCTAATTTCCTCAGGACAGCTTGCTCCTGAACGCCTCCCACTGTGCCCTTCTGGAGTGCCCTTCCTTAAGGAGTTCAGTAAAGTCTGAGGCCTTTTAAGCTACTTTCTAATCTAATTGTTTCTTCTAATAGACTCTTGGTCTCTCTAGAGGATGACAAATCCCCCGCTGGCTCTGCTCACTTCTGGAAAATGACAACTTCCTGCTCCCAAGAATGCCTAGACTTTGGAGTCACGCTATTAGTCTGTTCCAATCACACACTTGTACAGACTTCAGAGTCTCCCAATCCTCCCAAGTTTATGATTCCTTCTTTGCAATCCATGAACAGCCCCTCCTCTTGCTGTGGTCTCTCAGTTCTTTGACTTCTCCAGTGGCTGCCACCCTGCTATCACAGTCACCTACCCAGGCTTATCATTACCATCAAATACAGCCTCTCATTCACCCTAGTATCAGCCGAGACACCGTGCTCTAGCTGGCACCCATCGTTCCAGCTCAACAACTCAAAGCCTCACCCCCTCCAACCTTACTTAACCTGCTAGTTCCTACTCATTGACTCTATGACCTTTTCCTCATGGCCCATCACTCATGTGTATCAAATTGCCCAGTCTGGATACCTTGTACCTAGCTAAAATCATTTCTTGCACACAAACTCATCTCCCTTAGCTGTCCTTGCCCTCAGCTATCTTCTGTCCTCACAGATAAGCCTCAATTGAACTGCTAAGTAAACAGATAACCCTACAATAAATTCTAATACACTCTAGGGAAAATGGCATTACCTCATTCAATAGCAAATATAAATATATGAACTTGGAAGAGCTGAAAGAAAATACCCTGTGACCAAATATGCTAAGGGTTTTAGAACAAAACATTTTGTTCAAAAGTTCTGGGGCCTTCTTTATTGAGTAGTAAACACTCTGTCTTTTAAATGTCCTTGGAAAACTTTACAGTCTTTTTTTGAAGTTTAGTTTGATAGAGTCTCCACTCAGAAAACAACACATATAGGTTATACCTCTAAACAAAGTATATTTCTGACCAAATCTGTTGGTAGGGTCATTTCTGTATTCACTTCAAGTTCCCATGGTAAGAATATCTCCAAAGCTATCCTGGGGCTGCCACACCCAGAAATAGAAGGAAGTTTTCACATCTAAAATAAAACCTATCAAAGTGCACATTGTGCTCAAAGGGAGAAGGCAGGGCAGAACACCTTACAATCAAACATGGTTGTATCATTAAAAGATCTTGTTTACTAAAAACAAAGAAGTCAATTGTTAGCAGGGCAGAAAATGTTTTCAGTGTCAGGACATCTGAGACATAAATGTAATAGCCTGGGGGTTCAGGATGTACATGCTCACATGCGCACGAGCACACACACACACACACACACACACACACACACACAATCACCACCATCACTCACAAGTACACACACAATCACTACACACACACACAATTACCACCACCACTCACACAAACACACACACACTACCACTCACACACACAATATCACCACCACCACTAATACACACACACACACAAAATCACCACCACCACTAATACACACACACACACAAAATCACCACCACCACTAATACACACACACACAAAATCACCATACACACGCACAATCACCACCACCTCACACACACACACACACACACACACAATCACCACCACCACTCACACACATACACAAAATCACTACCACACAAACTCACACACACACACACACACACAATCACCACCACCACTCACACACATACACAAAATCACTACCACACAAACTCACACACACACAATAACCACCACACACACATACACACACACACACACTATCATCACTACCACTAACACACACAGAGGTGTGAGGGGGGGCAGGAGGAGAGAGATGACAGACCCTTCTAAGACAAAAAACATTGAAACAAAAGCAACATCTCAACATCAGAAAAAAAAAAAAAAAATGTAGTAAGGGATTCTAAGCTCCTGCATCTAGATCAGGCTGTTTTGCTTGTTCAGTTAAGGACTGAGTTTCCAGGAGACAAATATAAGTTATAATGATTACTCTTTACTCCTCTTCATTTTCAGAATTCCATATTCCTTGCTATTCTCTTCTCTCTCATTACTCTCTTTGTTCTAAATCAAAAGCTACAAAATGTCATCATTCAATGGCATGGCATTGGTTTACTATCAAAAACCATTCTCTGGACAGAGAAATTGAAGAAACTAGTACTGTATAAATGGGATGGCTGGGTAGGCCCTGAATAATAATAGTTGCATTAGTATCAAGCTTACTTCCAAAGAAACAAAAGGCAGGGGAATACGAATGTGATAGTGCCCTTATTTTTGTTGTTTTTTTTTTTTTTTTTTTTTTGATGTGTGTGTGTAAAATCAGAATTTATTCTACTTTTTTAAAATTGAAATTAGATTCTTCTCATTATCTCATACAATGAATGCATCCTGACCACAATATCCCACTGTCCCCCACACCCACAGACCTCTCCTCTCCCCCATCCAATCTTCCTCCACTTCCTTTCAGAAAAGATCAAGCCTCCAAAAACAACAAACAAGCAAGACAAAATAAGATATAAGTCAAAGCAAAAGCCCTCATATTGTGGTTTGATAAGGCAACCCAATAGGAGGAAAAGAGTCCCAAGAGCAGGCAGAAGATCCCACTTGCACTATAGTGAGTCCCACAAAAGCACCAAGCTTAACAGCCATAACATACAGAGGACTTGGTGCAGATCCATGCAAGCCCAGAGCTTGCAGCTTCCGTCTCTGAGCCCACTTGGGCCCTGCTTGTTTGGTTGAGTGGCTAAGTTCTCCTGGTGACCCCCCATGCCCTCTGACTCCTAAGATCAGGATGGAGAAATCTACAGAGACAGCTGAACCAAGCTTGTGGAAACTCATGAACTCTAGACCTACAACTGTGGAGACTCCAGGGAATCAAACTAGGCCCTCCCATATGTGGGAGACAATTGTGAAGCTTGGATTACCTGAGAGGCCCCTGGCAAAAGGACCACAATATAAACCTGGTACATGAGCTAGTATTTTGGAGCCTGTTCCTTAGGGTGGGATGCCATGCTCGGTAGCAGTAGGACCATGATATAATCTCGGTATATGAGCTAGCTTTTTGGAGCCCATTCCCTATGGTAGGATGCTATGCTCGGCCTTAAAAGATGCGAGAGGGGCCAGGCACTGCCCCAACCTATTGTGCCAGACTTTGTTGATTCCTCATAGGAGCCCTTACCCATGAGGAGGAGTGAACTGGGGGTGTGCTGGGTGGGGGGAGGTGAGGAGGGTAGGAGGAGGTAGGGCACTGGGAAGGGGGAACTATGGTTGGAATGTAAAATGAAATTGAAAAAGTTTAAAAATGGAAAATAAAAATTAATATTAAAAAAAAAAAGATAGTGCCCTTATTTAAGACCAACTAAGCTCCTGCACCTCTTAGCTTCAGGAACTTTTGCCTGTTTGTTAGGTTGTCCTTGATAGAACTTAAGGAGTTCCCAGGAGACCAACATACATGATATAATGCTTAGATTTTACTCCTTCATTTTCAAAATTCATATCTTTCAGTGTTTACCTAAAACTTTTTTTTAAAAACCCAGCTATCAAATTTTATTTCATCAATGCTTTGAATTTTTTTTAAAAACATTTATTTTAAAAAGAACAAAAATGCTTTGGTATTTCAAAAGCCAACAATCATCCATCCCCAGAAAGTTAAACACCTTTCCCAGGGACCTGAAGTATAAAAGCTCAGACCCCACTGACTCAAGGTAAGAAAGAGGAAATGTGCAAGCTCCCAGGACAGGTGGCCATAGGACTGTTGGTGAAGTTTTATTTTTTAGGAATCATTAAAGCCGGAAGCAGATACATTTTCAAAATGGGTATTAATTGTAACTTTAAGCAACAAGTACAATGCCACCGATTATAACCCTGACCTAGTTTAGACCAGTTAGTCTATCAAATGCCCACTTTGGATGGTAAACTATGGTCATCCTATTCACAGCTATGGAACTTCACCTCCAGCATTTGTCCAAACTATGTCTGAATGGAGAACTTAGCTTAGTTTGGACATCTAGATCCCTAACAGTCTCCAAGAAACACTTTTTTTCCTGTCTGTCTGTTAAGTGATTTTTGGTCATCCAGCC